CCCATCCCTGACCTTGACCCGCCACCAACGACCAGCATGTTATGCACGATGATTTGCATCCTACTGGTTTACCTATACTTGCATCTCTGAACAGCAGGAGCTCTTTAAATTGATGTTTATCATCATTAATAGAACGGTCATTGTCTACAAATATGTCAATGCTGTTAGAACGATAGAATAGGCATCCCTGATGAAAGCATTCTACAGGGCATTTTTAATGATTTTTTGTAGTCTGTCAACAAAATAGGACTGATATGGAAATTCTAGGCAAATATAAATCCAAATTCAGCTTTTGATGTCGCTTTGCAAGTTTAGTAGCCTATATTAGAATGGCAATCATTTAGAAGCATGTAAATTTTTACAATCAAAAACTATACATACTTGTTGATAGAATCCTACAGCACATTATTCAATGAGGTGAACAAATAAAATTGGTTTATAAGGAAATCAAATCAAAATACAGCACTTTATCTCACTTTCCTGATAGTGTAGCCTAAATTTCAGTTAAAAACAGCAGTTAAACTAAGGGGAAAAAAAATACAGATGAAGAGTGGGTCGAGGAACTAACCGTGGCCAAGAGTTCTCGCATCCGTGACCTGGCCCTTGTAGCATATGCTGAGTGCTTATATTTGCTCGCAAGCAGTTCTTTAATTTCTGCTGTTGCCATATTCATTAAATAGTCACTCTTATGTGTTTCCTGCATCAGAAACAAAGATTATCTGGAGTATAAGCTGTTGAGAAAAGTATACACAATCTATATGATCCAAAACATGGACAGTACTGTCAAAGTTCTGAAATTACAATACCAGAAGTTTTAACTTAAAATTTTCCAGTTATATGACAATGAACTAGTTTGATGATGTGGAAAACACAAGGTGAAGGCTTTATGTGCCAGTGCTTCAGTTCATCAGAAAACTTGTGACATCCTAGGCGAATCTCACATCGACAAAACACAGGAGAGATGCAGGGTATATATTCAACGATCCTTAGGCCCTAGTGACGCGTTCTAAAGCCGTGCGAGCCTAGGCCCAAAGCGAACAATATCACTAGTGGTCTGGGCTGTTACCTATGGTATTAGAGCCACTCCGCATGTAACCTTGAACGATGGTGGTGCAAACCTCAGCGAGGACGGTGAGTCCCTAAGGGGAGTGTATGTGACACCCTAGGCAAATCTCACATCGACAAAACACGGGAGAGATGCTGGGTATATAAGTAAACATGTCTTAGACTCTAGAGATGCGTTTTAAAGTCATGCGGGTCTAGGCTACAAGCGGACAGTATCACTAGTGGATTGAGCTAGTACAAGACTACGGTTACAAAATCTAAATCCTGATACCTAACAGAAACAGCCATTTTCTTATTTGAAGTAAAAATTGACATACAAATAACATCCATCAGACACAGGAAAAGGATTAATAAGAGTGATTTCAAAAGGAGAAAGCATAGCTATAGTAGTATCATACCCGGAGTCGTTGTGAGCCTTTCAGTGTGGCTGTCACGACGTCAAAGTCCGAATTAACACAGCGTAAGAAATGATCGGATGGATTTCTCCTACTTGGACACGGAAACCCCGATTCAGCAAAGAACTGAAATATCAATATGTATAGATTAAATTCAATCTCATTAGATAGAAAACAAAAGACTTTGTAAAACATCTTGTAGTTATACAAATTTTATCACTCCATACCTGTACTGCAGATTTTGCTTCACCAAAATATACAGCCTCTCCACCAGACAACAGAAAGAGGTCATCAAACAATGCGAAAACTTCACTACTAGGCTGATGTATAGACGAAATAACCGTTCTTCCATCACGGGAAATATTTTTAAGAGCTTGAACAACAAAGAATGCTGAGGCACTGTCGAGACCAGTAGTAGGCTCATCAAGAAAAAGTATACGAGGTCGTACAAGGATTTCAAGTGCAATGCTTAGTCTCTTTTTCTCTCCGCCACTTATTCCTCTTAACTGCCAATTTCCTACCAGCCGATCAGCACAATCCCCTAACCCCATTTCCATTATTGTTCCCTCTACAATGTCGTTTACCTCTTCTTTCGTCATGCTAGTTGGAAGGCGCAGATGGGCTGAATACGTAATTGTTTCTCTAGGAGATAGAGTTCCCAACAGTGTATCCTCTTGAGTAACATAAGCCTGTAATATTCAGGCAGCTCATCAAAAGAAAATAAATAAGTATAACTTCTGCATTCAACTATGTAAACATTGTTTTCTCAGACGATGGTGTTCTTATCACATTCAAATCCGTTATCTAGAAAATGGTTCTGATAACGAAAATGTGGTTTTAGAAAGAAACAATCCGAAGGTTTATGTAATATTCTTATGTTTGTTGAGCATTTTGGAGATTTCTGTAACATTGACATGTTTATTAAGTCTCACTCGAGACAAACTGATAGAAAGAATTATGTTTTTCTTTTCTAGAAAATGCCATAGAATAACAAATCTCTGAGAATCTTGAGAAAACGACATGCTAGCTTTGACATCTGTTTTGGATGGTAAGAAGTTTCCATCTATTTTGGAGCAAAAGGAAGTAAGTGCATATATAGGAAATAGCACAAACTTCTATATGTCCTGCTTAAGTGAAAAAGGAACTCTGGCGAAGTTCAAACGCGCAAATGTTAGTGCCTAAAATGTGGTGTGGACAAATTAAAGGCTCAGTCAGAGTATCTTACAACAACACCATAGTCCAACCTCCTCTTCTTTCCATTGAGAAGGATATTTCCAGTCATCACCACATTTGTCGATAGTCTACCTGCAGTCCAAACCAAGCATGATTTAGCAAAGTGCAGATGTTATAATCACAAGAAGTGAATTTTCATTCTCAATTTCCCCCCTCTTTTTACACTCAGCACTAAACTAAGTATATGCGTTGGCGATGATTTCAAATTAAGATTTGGTTGACAATTTACGCAGCACATGACTACCTGACTAGCATGCAAAACAATTCTACGAGAAACATCTTTAATTTGTAACTATCTTGAATCACATTGGTATGACAATGAAAAGTAGAAGTCGAAGAAGGAATTAGTGAAAACGGAGATGAACGTCCAAAAGGTATATAAGGCTAAGAGTATAGATATCAAGACATGACCAAAAGCAACTATACCTATTATTCAGAACCAAGGAGGTTAACTTAGCTGCAGTAGCCTTTTGACACAGAACTAGCAATGCGCGTCCCTCAAAAAATACATAGTCTATTATTTTGAGATTATTTCAAGCCGTTATAGGAACAACAACAACATGTGCTGTATAATCTTACATGTGGAGTCTGGGGAGGGTAGTGTATAGGCAGACCTTACCCCTACCTTGTGGAGATAGAGAGGTTGTTTCCAATAAACCCTCGGCTCAGGAAAGCATTTAAGTGGGATTTGATCCCTTGACCTTAAAGGCTTGAATAAGCAACCAAAACCAATGCTCGAATTCGCCTGTTATAGGAACAGGTTTACAGAAAGCATTCTCAAGACAAGAACTTTTGCAAACATTAGTTGTCTAGACCATGAACACCAATATTTATAAGTTCATGCTAAGTTTATGTTCGTACTCTGGTTTTACCTTTCTATCATCAAAACCATCTAAATTCACACCAGTACTAATTGTATCCTCCGTATTTCAGCAAAGGTCATAGATTACTTGTTGAGATTGTCAAATTCCAACCAACTTCAGGTTTTAATTGATAAACATAATCAATACTTTATTTTCACTGGACCACCAAGCCGATTGAAAACCTCGCAATTCAAAGTTCTATTTTGTTAAATGTAACTCACAATGATGAATGGAATGAATCTTACATCGGACCGGGATGAGATCCTCGTCTCCTTATAAGGCTTGGGCAATCCTACTCCGTTAGAGCTAGCTTTTTGGGATTGAATTATGCCCAAGGCTTATTTTGACATGATATCATAGTCAGGCCCGGGGTCGGTATGTTCCGCCAAAGAGGAGGCGGAATGCCCCCGGACCAATTGTTGGGGTT